TTTGTACTACAAGAAAAAAGGTAAGATTATTAATTTGTATTAAAACATACTGGTGGATATAGTTTTAAATAAAACTAAATTCATATCCTGGTCTGTAGCAGAACATTGTTGTACTTGAAGGTGTCTTACTACGGTGACCATGACTTTCAGTAAAGTTTTTTTTTAACTATGGAAGGAATGTGATCATTTGCAAAATTAATATACTTTTGTAATATACTTTTTACATTAAAATACATTTATGATTTTTTTTTCCCCATTGGTAACTTTTCTGTAGGTGTAAATGGATTTTTATTATTAATTTGTTATAGAAAAGCTTTCACAATGGCATGAATTACACTTTTCTCTCATTGGTAGAAACTTCCTGTTATATTTGTTTTTCCAGGGAGTAAAATACATGTGGTGTAGTTTTCTGTGTCTGCAGACGTCTTCCTATTAACACGATAACTGAAAAAGTCTTTGACAGATATTAAAATTTTGCCGGCACACTGTGAACTGGAACTGATCAAATTTTGAGACGGATCATCCCAAAATCGAAGCAGCGTCATAGTGATATCTTAAAAGGGCAGTTATAGAAACTTGATCCCATTAACACAAAAACTTATTTAACATACTTTTGCAAACTTTGCAGACACATTCTGCTGGTCATGAACTGGAAATGATAGACCTTTGAGACAAATCGCGCTAAAATTGAAACAGCGCCGCTTAGTGGCAGGAATAGGAAAGGTGAAAGAAAACAACATTTGACCGTATGAATGTGATGAATATTGGGTGGATCTTGTTATTGCTTCAGAAAAACAGTATATGGATGAAGTTCTGCAAGGGATTTCATTTTGAGGCAAATTTCCCCAAAAATTAACAGCAGTGCTATTTAGCAGCAAGAGAAGGAAAGGACAGCTATATAAAACACAGGGTCACATGAGCACAGTGACTCTATTTAGAGTCAAAACTTTGGACACAAATACCCTTAGAAAGGTTTACTTGTACTGTTCTCAACATTTTAGAAAATGCGTCGACATCAATATTTGAAATCAAATTGTTTTTTAAAATTATTTTAATGAAATTACCTTTATAATTTCTTAAATGTTTCAATTCATTGAATTGTTTTCCTTTAATATCACTGCGTAATTATGGGAGTACTTCACATTATCACAAAACAAAAAGGTGGTTTTACACTGTGCAGTGTGATGGCAAACCACAGCGGCATTAGCGCTATGCATGACCACCTGAAGAGGCCAAATGAGGTCAGGAGGGTGAGGAAGGCAGTAGCTTGTGGTCTATCAAGGCCCTGAGGAAGACAAGTGGCAAACCGTCACCAGGGATGGTTGACAGAAGCATATCCATTAATTCAGTGAAGTTTCCCAGTAGGCAATAAATAACAATATGCAGTTTGGCAGGGTGGATGATGGTAAGAGCATAGTATTCAAATGAAAAGTAGCTACAAGCAGGAGAGAGTGGGCCCAGTCCGACCCAGAGAGAGAAAGAAGTGTGCAGGTAGTGCAGCTGGAGTGGTGCTGTTCTTCAGGTAGGATGTGAAGTGCTGAATGTGTAGCAAAGGCAGGAATGATGTCAGTCTTGTTCACAGCAGACTGACAGATCCACTATCCAACATTAAGGGAGATGAAGGCAGAAGTAGCAGGAACACTGTGGAGGTTATGAGGGTTGTGTGTCCCCCTGTGACAATGGCAAGAGAGGCTCTGAGAATTAACCAAGGGGATATACTCAAAACGCGTATCAGACAAGCAATGGGAGAGGAAGACATGCTACCTAAGTGGGTGAAAACATCATCTTGTGTCCTCGCTCAGTGGACTTGTGCAGGTAGACTTGCTGGTCTTTATACAAGAAGGATCTTCTCACAGGGCCGATGCCTACAGTGATGGCTGAGCACAGCTGATGTATTGATGATGCACCTCGCTAAGTGCTCACAGCTGAGGGCAGCAGTTTCATTTAACAAGACAAAGGCCGACAGCAGGGCCTAGGAGCACCAGAAACCAAATGCAAACACAGGGTCACATGAGCACAGTGACTCTATTTAGAGTACCAGTCAAAACTTTGGACACACTTACCCTTAGAAAGGTTTACTTGTACTGTTCTTAACAGTTTAGAAAATGCGTCGACATCAGTATTTGAAATCAGCGCATTGCTTTTTAAAATTATTTTAATGAAATTACCTTTATAATTTCTTAAACGTTTCAATTCATTGAATTGTTTTCCTTTAAGATCACTGCATAATTATGGGAGTACTTCACATTATCACAAAACAAAAAGGTGGTTTTACACTGTGCAGTGTGATGCCAAACCACAGCGGCATTAGCGCTGTGCATGACCACCTGAAGAGGAACCACACAGGCGCTGTTCTGGATGATGGCCGGACCGCTAGAGTAGACGGAACCACCCTCAGTGCAGCCAATTCATGTTCATTAAATTAACATTAAAACAGAGAGCTTTTTAATAAACTGAAGTGGCCTCCAGGGATGCTTTTCCAACTGTCCTGAAGGACGTCCCACATATGCTGAGCACTCATTGGTCGCTGGTCAAACTCCTCCAAAACAATTTCTGCTGTGTTTAGGTCAGGAGACCTGGTCATGTGATGTGACAGTATCACCTTCCTTCGTAGGAGGCTTGGCGTGTCCAAACATTTGACTAGTACTGTTCTTTGAAAAAGTGTTTTACAGTGTTTTCAAACTTTGCAGAGACATTTTATGGGTGACACTGGAAGTGATCATATTTTGAGACAGAATGCCCAAAAATTGATTTGGGACTGCATAGTAATTGCAAAAATGGGGCAATTTCAGACACTGAATAACTCAAAAAATATTTGACAGATCTTTTTCAACCAGTGCAGACACACTGTAAGGATGACGATGAGGACGTGGTCAAATTTTGAGACAAATTGCACCAAAATTGGACTTGATATACCTGACACCTGAGCTCCAAAATTTTTGTCCATTAAAAGTGCAGGAGAATAAATTTGGACTTGTGCAGGTAGACTTGCTGGTCTTTACACAAGAGGAGTCTTTACACAATATTAGACAGCAAAGTTGAAGGCCAGGAGACAAAAAAGTTGTCTATCTGGGAACTGATGTTTACCTTTCTCTGCAGGCATTCCTTGTAAGGCTGTAAAACAAGAGGAAGGTCCATCCCCAGCAGGTAACATCTTCTGTTTGTACTAGGATATGTGGCAAAACCTGCCCTAGTGATTTGTGGTCCTCTGTAAATAACACGTTTTGCTTACAAATTATAACTTCTTAAAAGAAAGCAAGTACAAGAGGTTTTTTTCCTTTTTCAAATAACACTTTTACAAAGGCAGATCTTAAATTTGCACATTCAGCAGATTCTTTTCTCCACATCAACATACAAGTGTGA